GGGTTGGAAATAAAAACTTGGTAATCATTATGTGGTAGTTTAAACTGAGAATGGATAAGATCACTTTGGAAGAGCATGTATAATGAAGGGGAAGAGAAGCTCATGAAATAAATGGTCAGAGATATAAATAGAATTATGGGGTATAGTGTCTCAGAAATCAGTGGGATTGAATATCTAGAAAGGGTAATGATCATCACAACCTCAAATGCAATAGGAAAGCCCAACATAAGAGATTTGGTGGTAATAGCAATTAATTTGGTGGTAGAAGCAATGGTATCCATCCAAGCAGTGAGCACAGAAACCAGATCACAGAAGGGGAGGATTTCATCTCTATAGCTCCACTAATATCACTCTTGTCAAGGTCTTAAATAACCTCCATGTTTCCAAATCCAGCGGTCAATTTTCAGTTATTTTCAACCTCAAACTCTTAAACAGGAATGACAGTGTATAGTGCCTTTCTTGAAACATTTTAAAAGTTTGTTTTATAAGACCCCTTGCTCTCTTGTTTTTTAAATTCTTCCTGTTTTCTGGCTGCTCCTTTTAAATAAATTTTGCTGGATTTTCTTTCTCTCTGACCTCTACTAGTTACAGTGCCTCAGGATTAGAGGGCTCAGTCATAGACTTTCTCTTCCACATTAACAAAGTGAGTGCTCCCCATCCCATGGCTATCTTATACCTTAATGACTCCCCATATGATACTACCAGTTGTCACTTCTTTGAGCTTCAGATTCATATTGTTTACTCAGTAGCTCCATTTGGAAATCTAATAGGCATCTCCAGCTTAACATCTCTAACAGAGAACTGGATATTTCCCCCCCAAAGCCTCCTTTCTCAGGGAGTTCTCAGTTATTGGCATTGCTATTTGTCCTATTGCTCAAGTCAAAACAAAACAAAACATATCTTGACGTTATCTTTCACCCCATATTCAATCTATTAGCATATCACCTCTGCCACCTTTAAAGTGTATCCTGAATCCAACCACTTCCTACCATTTCCACTGCAACACTAGCCTTGTACATCTGCAATAGCTTCCTAACTGGTTCTTCAGCTTCTATTTTGCCTCCCTGCAGGCTGTTCTCAAAAAATCAACCAAAGTAAATTTCTTTATTGATTAAATCAGATCATATCACTCTATTATGCAAAATCCTCCATGGCTTCCTAGCACTCTTAGGTTAAATCCAAAGTCCTCTTCTTGGTCTATAAGTCCGTAAGTCATCTGGCTACCATCTTGTTTCTCCAAACTAATTTCCTATGTGCTCTTTTGCCTTCCTTGCTGTTCTTTGAAAACACCAAACACACACAGGGTTCAGGTTTTTATTTATTTTTTTGTTTTGTTTTTTTTGTTTGTTTGTTTTTTAGCTGAGCCATCCTGCCACCTGTTGGCAGCTCAGCGGCTGCTCAGCTCTGGCTGTGAATGGAACCGGCGACCCTGTTGCTCAGAGCTCGCACTCTTGAGTGAGCTCTTAACCAACTGAGCCACTCGGCTGGCCTAAGGTTCAGGTTTTTATACCTTGCTGTTCCCTCTGCCTGGAAGGTTATTTCCCCAGTGTATATGGCTCACTCACTTTAGAGCTCTACTCAAATGTCATCTCAGCAGGGCTGGCCGAGTGGCTCAGTTGGTTAGAGCTCACGCAGGGCCAGCCGAGTGACTCGGTTAGAGCGCGAGCTCTGAGTAACAGGGTCGCCGGTTCGATTTCCCCATGGGCCAGTGAGCTGTGCCCAAGCGGAGCTGCCACTGAGCTGGCGAGAGTGCGTGCTCTTAACAACAAGGTTGCGGGTTCAACTCCCGCATGGGTGGTAGGCTGCACACACCCGCAACTAAGATTGAACACAGCACCTTGATCTGAGCAGCTGCAAGCTGCCGGCAGGCGGCAGCATGGCTCAATGTGCAACAAGGTTGCTGGTTCAATTCCTGCATGGAATGGTGGACTACACCTCCTCATCCCACCCCCGCCCGCAACTAGATTGAAAGTGGCGACTGGACTTGAAGCTGAGCTTGTACTCACCACAACTAAGATTGAAGGACAACAACTTGACTTGGAGCTGATGGATCCTGGATAAACACAATGTTGTTCCCCTTCCTCAATTCCCCAATAAAATCTTTTAAAAAAATGTCATCTCAGCAGAGGGGCCTTCCATGAATTCCCTATGTAAAAGAGCACACTCTGCTTTCTTTTCCTTTATAGTGTTCTTCATAACTTAATTTTGTCTGTGTGTCCCTCTTCTCCCCCTACACGCCCAACTCCTGCACTAATAAATATAAGTTCTGTGAATGCAGGAATCTTAGTTTGTTTTATTCACTGCTGCAGTTCCAGCACCTAGAACAGGACCTCACGTGTAGTAGGAATTCAACAGTTGTTGATGGAATGAATAAATGAATGAATGAATGAATGAATGAATAGAAATGGTAGGGCATTAGATAGCTATTTTGTGCTTTGGCACTCTTCTAGGTGTTGGGGTTACAAAAATAAAAAAAAGACCCTGCCCTCATAGTGCTTATATTCTAGTAGTATAGTTTAAAAAATTTTACATAATTGTAGGTTAAATGTTACAGCTAAAAAAATGTTATGAAAAAAAGTAAGAGGATAGAAGAGGATGGTGGTGTAGGGTGTCATTTTAGTTGGAATAGTCAAGAGCTGCCTCTCAGAGGAAGTACTATTTGAGTAGAGATTGGACTAAGTGGAGAGCGCAAGTCTAGTAAAGATCTGTTAGAGGATTGTAAATTGGTGCAGCCACTATGGAAAACAGTATGCATGTTCCTGAAAAATTCAAAATAGAGCTGCCATATGACCCAGCAATTCTGGATATTTATCCAAAGAAAACAAAAAAACTAATTTAAAAAGATATATGCACCCTTATGTCCATTGCAGTATTACTTCAAATATGGAGGTAACCTAGGAGTCCATCAAATAGATGAATCGGTAAAGAAGATGTGGTATAGATACAATGGAATATTACTCAGTAATAAAAAGGTGAAATCTTGCCATTTGTGACAACATGGACCTAGAGGGTATTATGCTAAGTGATATAAGTCAAAGAAAGGTAAATACCATATGAGTTCACTTAATATGTGGAATCTAAAAAATCCAAATGAATAAAACAGAAACAGCTCATAGATATAGAGAACAAGCTGATGGTTGCCAAATGGGAGGGAGGTGGGAGAATGGGGGGAAAAGTTCTGTTTTGGACCATAATAAATAAGTAAATAAATAAAATAAAATAAAACCAATGTTCTTTTTTTTTAAAGATTTTTATTGGGGAATTGGGGGATGGGAACAGACAAGTTGCTGTCCTTTTGTTCTTCAGTCTAGTTGTGGAGGACGTTGCTTCATTGGCCCAAGTTGGCACCATCATTGCGCTCTTCCTGGGTGAGGCAGATCAGCCCATGGCAACCCACTGCAGCCTATGCCGTTGCCTGCGACTCACAGCAGCCCAGCTCCAGGTTGAACTGGCCCTCATATGTGGGATCCGAACCGGAGCCCTCTGGTGTCCCACGCTAGCTCTTAAGCAACACGCCACTCTGCCGGCCCAAAACCAGTGTTCTTAACTAGTAAAATTGTATATGTGGAAACCCAAATGAATCTACAAACTTAGAATCAGTGAGCTTAGCAAGGTTGCTGGATACAAGGACAGCATACTGAAAATATTTGCGTTTCTAAATATTAGAGGAAAGAAAAAAAAGACCTGGTAGATGAACATTCCAAGAAGAGGAAACAAGTGCAAAAGCCCTGGGGCTGGAACATGTTTTGGCTGGAGTGACAGTGAGAAGGCCAATTAAGGCTAGAGCTGAGGTAGGCAGTGTGGGAGGAGATGAAATTAGAGATATAGGTACCAGATCATGTAGGGCCAGCCTTAAAGGCCACTGTGATCAGTTTGATTTTGTGTCATGGGAAGCTTTTGAAATTTTGAGCAGAATAATAATATGACCTAACAGTTTAAAAGGGTACTCTGGCTGCCTTATGTTTAACTAGCCGGACAATAATGGAAATAAGCCAGTTAGGTGTCTATTGCTACAGTCTAATATATGACTTATAATAGGAGGGTAGCAGTAGAATAGGTAAGAAGGGGTCAGATTCTTGCACCTGATAGGTCGGTTGATAAAGGAACACGCAAGGTCAGGCAAGTTAAGAAAGTTTTATTGTAAGAGGAAGCTTGCCCGGCTGTCTAAAGGAGACTGCAGCCCTAGGGAAGGTGTGAGGAAGATTATACAGGGGCGGTGCTGACACTCTGGCATTGTTTGAACAGCAAATGTTGACTGCCTGCAGGCCAGCAGCTGTGTTGTGTCTTTTCTGTTATGGCAAGCGTGGCTCTGTCTGCAGGTGAGGCCAACAGATATCTCGTTTTCTTGCAGACGTGGCTCTATCTATATATAGTTTAGGGTCTCTGAAACCTAACAGTACCCTGACCTCCTGGTCAAAAATCTCCTAGCCTCAGCAACTGGGAGTAAACTTGTCAGGAATCCTCCGTGCGCTTCCTTTAGGTGTCAGAAGGAAGCAGAGTGTACATCACTAGGCCCATTCTTGAGAACCAACGCACCCTCCCCCCACCCTTCGGATCAAGATCCTCTTGAATAGCTTAGCTGCACTTCAAGCTTGTGAATCCCTTATTTAAAAGTGGGTAATTGGAAGCTGTCAGGGGTAAGTGGGCCTCGGAGGTGTAGAAACCACTTAAGAAAATAAGTCCTCATCGGAAATGGAGTTTTCAAAAGAAATCTGGCAAGAACTGCTTATTCCCAGTATTCAAAAACAGGACAGAAATGGGTTTCCCAGGAGGTTGCCTGCCAGCACGTTAGAAATTAATTTTATTACCACTACAACGCTGGGAGGACGCTAACTCACATTTGTTTTGCGTATCACATCAAGCACCCTCTACAAAAATAACTTTGCCTCCTCGGTAATGCGCAGGCGCCCCCTCGCCCAGCTTTCCGTTGGCCTTTAGCCCCGCCCCTTACGCGCCCTTCGAGGAGGGTTGGAAGCCGTGAGCTCGCGCCACCACTCTTGCCTCCGTCTTCCCCAGCACGTCGTCGCAAACGGGGTCGAAAAGCGTGGCAGCGCAGGCGCAAGCGCACACAGCGGAGGCGGCGGTGGTGGCGGCCGCTGGCCAGTGTAAGATGGCGGCGGCGTTGGTGGCGGCAGTGGACAGAGCGGCTGGGCCTGGAACAGTCGGAGCAGCTGCTAGCAGAAGGATGACCCGAGACGGGAAGCGGGCTGCTGAGCCTCGCCGGCTCCCGTGCTTGTAACTGCCCTAGCCGGACATCCCCTCCCCCTGACCCACCCGGTCCGTGTCTCGTTCCGGCTTGGCCTGTCCCTCTCTTCCCCTGGTCCGTTTCCCCCCAGAATAGGTTTCACTTCTTTCCCAAGCTCCCAGGGTTTAGGTCTTTTCCTTACCCTGACCTGAGTCTGCGCCTGGAGGACTGGCTGCCCTTCCTTCTGGTCAGCCCTGGGGTTGCCCCCAAGAGCTTGCCCCACAATCCACCGGGACGTCTTGCCTCGTTGGGTGACCCATTTTTGTGCGTTTTTTCCTCCTCCTTAGATAGATTGGGTGATGCGGCTTGCCCTGAGTCTCCCCGTCACCTCAGGGCCACCGCGCAATGTGCCCCCTCCCCCCATCCCGAGTTCTGGGGCCCAGCAACTTGTACGGAAGGCCGAGGTCCAAGAACCCCGGAGTCAGTTGTTGCCGGCTGGTCTTGTACCTTTTGTAATATAATTCTCTTAGTTTATCTCCCCTTACCCCCAGATCTTTCAGGACACCGTAGAACGGTCCTATTTGGTCCCTGTTAGTTGGAAAGCATCTAGTGGCTTGAATTTCTGACTCATGATTGTTGTTGGAGTCTGTAAACAAACCGGCACTAGCGCTATCACATTCTCTCCAGGATCCCCCACCCCCACCCCCGTGGCTTGTTGAGAGGCTGGTTATGGGTTAAGGTTGAAAAGATTCAGGTTTTCCTCTTAAATGACTTGACATGTTAGTGGAGCTGGGAGATTATTTGCATGGGCCATTTTACTTCTGTTAACTGTTTGTAGGTTATTTACTGAGTCAGAATTAGGTAAATTACTCTGGTTTTAAATAGTTCTGAGGAGGTCTAAAAATACTAAAATGTATTTATAAATATATTTTTGTTATGGTTAATAGAACACTTTTGCCATTTAAACTTTAAATTTCTCAGTCCTTCAGTGAATCTACAGACCTATTTTTTCAGGCGCTCAGCCGGGCACTACTTCAGTGATAAAAGGAAGAAAGGTGAGTAGAAGTTCAGGGCATTTCAATTCCTGAGTCCAATACAGACCCTACCCTGGTGCTCAAGTGCTGACCACTAAAGTCACAAAATTCTTACCACAATTTCCAAAAGAGTTAAGGTATTGTTTTTGGCTGTGTTCCAGCTCTGGTTAAATTACTTTTACACGTTTAATTGGCTGTGGGCATCTTGATTTTCTGCCCTACACTATTGCTGTATATCCAGTTAAGCCGAGAAGTAAACGTGTGTCCTTCATTTGCGTTGTGTTTTGCTTTTGTTGGATCATGTTTCTTACATTGTTAAAAGCTGGGAATTAGTTTGCCTTCGTTCTGTTCAGTCTTTTGCCAAATCAGGTCTCTTCTCTGAGGGCTCTGGGGGTTGCCATTCCTTGCTGTTTAGAGAATATTTAGCTGCTTGTCCCTAAAAGCTGGGGAGTGACGAGTGAGGCTGCCTTTATTTGATGTCTGAGTTCAATCCACTTCAGAATTCCAACTTTTCGGGGCATAGTGGTAAATTTGGGGTGAAAAAAAAGAAAAGGGGCTCTTTTTTTATAGCTGGCCTGAAGAATTCTTGGTCAGCAGAGGAATCATTCTGTGCATTCAGCAGCCAGTGCCAAAGAGGGAGTCAGAACATCCTCGTAAATGTAATTTTTTGTAAGACTCCTGGGTTTCTGGTAGCACAGAGTAGTGCCGTGGTTGGGGTTCAGTGCTGTGGATGTGACAGAAGAGATAAGTGGCCCTGGGAGGGAGGCCTGGCTGATTTTTATTTTTATTTTTTAAAGGTTTTATTGGAAAATTGAGGGAGGGGAACAGCGCTGGGGAATCGGGGAACCGGAACAGACAAGTTGCTGTCCTTTTGTTCTTCAGTCTAGTTGTGGAGGACGTCGCTTCACTGGCCCAAGTTGGTATTATCATTGTGCTCTTCCCGGGTGAGGCAGATAGGTCGACGGCCATTGGGTGGCCGCTCGAGGTGGCTCACAGCAGTTCACGCCAGCTGCCGGCCACTCAACGCTGGCTGCTGACTACTCACAGTAGCTTATGGCAGCCCACTGCAGCTCCACTGCAGCCTACGCTGTTGCCGGCGACTCACGGCAGCCCAGCTCCAGGTCAAGCTGTTGTTCACTATCTTAGCTGTAGAGGGCGCAACATCACTGGCCCATGTGAGATCCGAGCTGGCAGCCCTGCTGCTCAGAGCTTGCGCTCCCAAGCCAACTCTTAACCAACGAGCCACTCAGCCGGCCCTGATTTTTAATATCTTTATGATTTGTAGTAGGAAAACGTCGGGTGTGACACTGGTGAGCTTTATTTCACATGGTGTCCTGATTAGAAAATGCTCATTATGAACTGGAATAAGATTACTATTGGCAGTATGTATAACTATCAGTAAGATGTAAAGGGAAAAGTACAGTCTTGATAGCTGGACAGACCTGGGTTTAAATACTGTACTAAGATTTATTAGCCATGTGACCTTGGGCAAGTTACTTAAACTTCTCTCTTAATTTCCTCTAAAGGTGGGATAAATACCACTTACTTCCTAGGGTAATTGTTAGTATTGTATGAGGGAACCTATATAAAGCTCTTAAATTATGCGTAGCACATGATAGACCCTAAAATTTTCTTTTTCTATTTTCTTTATACATCTTTAATATGGCTTTGAATAAGTTATACATTAGTTTACACTTTGCATTTTGCTTTTGAACATGTTTTTCTGGTTATTTTTTTAGATTCGTTTTTAATTGGTCAGCTTAGATGTTGCTTTGTAGGTGGACACCTAGGGTTGTCTTCTGAACATGATTCAGGTTAGTTCATGACCAGAAGACAGTGGGAATGTTAGATGTTGGTGTACGTATATCTCAAAATGCATTCTTAAACTAAACTTCAGTAAGTTTTCTTTGTTCATTGCTTCTTTCTTCTTGGTTTCTCTATTAGCACACCTCATCAGAGTTGACACAAGTATTGTATAGGCATACCTCAGAGATATTGTGGGTTCATTTCCAGATCACTGCAATAAAGCCACTATTGCAGTAAAGCAAAGTGTAATCTTTTTGCTGGTGGAGGGTCTTGCTTTCAATTTATAAAAAATACAACATCTGGGGCTGGCCGAGTGGCTCGTTGGTTAGGAGTTGGCTTGGGACGCCAGTTCTGAGCAGCAGGGCCGCTGGTTTGGATCCCACATGGGCCAGTGACGCTGTGTCCTCTACAGTTAAGATGGTGAACAACAGCTCGACCTGGAGCTGGGCTGCTGTGAGTCGCTGGTGACAGTATAGGCTGTAGTGGGGCTGCTGTGGCTGCCGTAAGCTACAGTGAGTGCCCGGCAGCCAGTGTGAGCGGCCGGTGGCTGCTGTGAGCCGCCATGAGCTGCCATCCAATGGCCGGCGACCGATCTGCCTCACCCGGGAAGAGCGCAATGATAATACAAACTTGGGCCAGTGAAGCAACGTCCTCCAAAACTAGAGTGAAGAACAAAAGGACAGCAACTTGTCTGTTCCGGTTCCCCAATTCCCCAATAAAATTAAAAAAAAAACCAATCAAAAAACACATCTGTGAAGCACAATAAAGGGAAGTGTAATAAATGAGGTAGGCCTGTAATTCTTTCTGTTCCTACTTCAGGTACTCCGTATGTTTTTTCCTTTTTGCCATGGAGGGAAATACCGTTTTTCCGAACTGTTCGTCTCTGCAGTGATCCTCATCGATAGATTATCAAAGAACTTGACTATGAAAAGGTCTCCTTTTTTCTGAAGTGAATGTGGGGTAGGGAGTTAGGAATGCAGAGTTTTTTATTTCAGCTCCACAGCTGGATCATTTTAATAATATAACAGCACAGATGAAAAGTTTTTCACCTTGTTGGTTTTTTCTTCCACATCTTTTTGGAGTAGCTAAGGGCACATGAAAGTTAAAGCGTTGTTACATTTCATCACAATGAAAGTAACTATTCATTCAGGCTAGTGATCAACTTAGAGTTGATCAACTTGCATTACCACCATGCAGGGTCTAAATTCTCTCTGCTGAAAGGTGAAGATTGGGGTGGAAAGTGGTGAGGTGGGCTGAAACTGCACTTTTATCATTTGTGCTTTTAGGAGATCTGGAGATCTATGTTGGGCGAGAGTAGAAAAGGAAATATATTGAAAGAGGCATAACTTTGTTCCTTATTGCTCCATGTGCTGGGTAAGATTCCCTCTCCCCGACCCCCCAGGAAAGGTTTTTTCCACATATTATGCTCCAGGTGACATCTGTGTATACACTGAATTAATATTCTTGGTCTGCGGACCACAATTTTAAATTATCTTTCTCAATATTTTATGTTTCAGGGTGTTACATAAGAATTGTTGCATCTTATAGGAAGTATTATGGCTGAAGCGGGAGGGTAGGTATGCTTGTGACCTTAGTTCCCAACCTGACAGGGCATTTTATGTAATTATTTTTTATTATTTTATATTATTTTTATATTCATATATAAAATAATTTATATATTATTATATAGTTATATAATATAAATATATTAATTTATATTAAATGTATAAAATTCAATCTCAGTGCTGTGATCTTTGGTGTTGACTAGGATCAGCCTAAAACAGAAGCTTGTCTTCAGAGAGAGCTAAAAGAAAAGTCTTTTTGTTGCCAGTTTCAAACAATACTAGCATTTCAAAAGCAAGTGGACACTAGTAGAAAACATGCTATAGAAGTGCATCCTGTTGTGGGAGACTTGAGATCTTCAGAGTTTCACACTCTGGGTCCTGTATTCTATCAGAGAGTTACAGGCTTTTAAAGTCATCAAGTGACTAGTTAAACTTTGTTTCCCGTAAATAGATTTATTTCTGGATATTTTCTACTGTAGAAAAGTTATTCTAAACATGTCTAGGAAATGTCCAGATTGTAAAAGACAGAGTTATTCAGATAGGTTTTTATTGTATAAAATTGGTGTTAGAGTTAGTTTTAAAGATTGAATTTTTTTTTTTCTTAAGCAGATTATCAGTGAGCCAAAATAGTCTGTTATTTACCCTCACCCATTTGAAACCCAGGCAACTGAAAGAATTAAATCAGCAAAAGGTATGGAGGTAGTGACTATGTATATCTTAATTTCAGAGCCAAATGTCAGTGCTTTTAGCTTAGCTTTATAGTAATATTGAAGACTTCATCTTATGTTTTCGTGAATGTACCCAAGAAACTTCATTGCTGTTACAGTTGGTCAGAAAAAGGGGCTGCCTGTTCTTATTTATTGATTCAGTTCTTCTCTTTGAGTGAGAAGAAAGTCCTTGAAAGGTCTATAAAAATTAGTGTGTAGTGCATTTTATGAATTGGTCACTTCTTTATAGCAGTCTTTTATTTCTACTTCTACAGGGCATGGTTTCTGGGCCAGAAGCCCAATTTTTCAAATACTACCTTAACCCCAGGAATGTGTATGCTAGAGATAAATTAATGAACTGAGTGTGCCCCAAGTTTGGGGGAAAAAGCCTGTAACTCACTGACACAATACCAGACCTAGAGTATGGGGAGTCATTAATATAACAAAGATGCCATCTTATTAATGAAATGTGGTATGTCTAATGGATTGTGTTATTGCAAAAATTTTCATCATTGTATCTGAGAGGTTCGTTAGGTATTTGCTCTTAACTTCCGAGGATACTGTTTAAGGAGGTCTGGCCAAATTCTGATATGAAGCATCCTTGCTTGTCTCACATGTCATTTTTTTGTTTTTGGTGTTTTTAGCCATCTGGAAAGGTACTCTAGGATTTACCCCTAGTGGTAGCCAAGAGGCCATAGTTCTCTAGTGTACTTTAAGCATTGTCACAACATCAGGTATGTTTTGACCTTACTTAGCTCTGCCCTTTAACCTAGTGCACGTAGGAGGGCACTTCTCGATGTTTCTAGCCTCTCTTTATTGTTTTGTTATATAAATGGTACCTTTGGAGCCCTTTTATCTCTCTTTGTCCTTTCCAGCAATTTAAGAAATATTTGAAATGTGAATGGCAAAAACTGGTAATGGGGACTGGATTCTGATGTAAAGGTAAATCATTTCATAGTGGAAACACAATGAAATTTCCTTAGAAATGAAATTTTCCCGGTAGTCATTTAAATTGAGATAAATGGGCTTAACCGTTATTATAAAAAGTTCCTTAGCTCTAAGGCTGGAGATAGCACTTAAGGGTTAGAGTGCATTCTTACCGTACTGAAATACTTTATTGGAATTAAAGCCAATAAACTGTAACAATAGGGCATGTGGTATTACCAATAGGGAGAGAAAGCATTCATCCAAAGGAAGAACACATTTCCTTGTTCATAGGGTAGTTGATGCAGGACTTCCTTATCTTTCTCCTCATCATCTGTAGTGATTGCTTTGAAGTTCTCATCTTGGCTATCTGAGTCTTCGAGAGGGAGAAGATCCTAGTTCATAGAACATGAATGTGCTCAAAAGAAGATGTTAACAGAGCTTTCTGAATTCTTTAAAAGGCCAGTGAGAGCAGGTAAGCAGATTTCATAGACTTGGAACTCTGTTTTGTACAGTGTTTGGAAGATCATTGCTGAGTGGCAAAGAAGCCCAGGCTTCTTGAGGAAATACAGTCTGCAACCAGAGATGAGAAGCTAGAAAAATATTGGGTTGTCAGAAAAGTCATGACACATTTTTAAATTATTTTTTTAAGATTTTATTGGGGAATTGGGGGAGGGGAACAGCGTTGGAGAATTGGGGAAGGGGAACAGACAAGTTGCTGTCCTTTTGTTCTTCAGTCTAGTTGTGGAGGACGTCGCTTCACTGGCCCATGTTGGTATTATCATTGTGCTCTTCCCAGGTGAGGCAGTCGCTCGCAGGCCATTGGACGGCCGCTCACAGCGGCTCACCACTGTTCATGAAAGCCCATGCCAGCTGCCGTCCAGCCCTATTGCAGCCTACATCGTCGCCGGCGACTCACAGCCGTTCAGCTTCAAGTCGAGCTGTTGTTCACCATCTTAGCTGTAGAGGGCGCAGTGTCACTGTCCTCATGTGGGATCCGAACTGGGGCCCTGCTGCTCAGAGCTGGTGTCCCAAGCCAACTCCTAACCAGCGCGCCACTCGGCCAGCCCCATGACGCATTTTGCAACGAAAAACAGAAAAATACACCATGACTTTTCCAACAGCTCAATAACATTAATATACACATACACGTACAGACAGCCTTTTGCAAACATTGTCTGTAATCCTCTAAACCAACTCCGGCAGAGTAATGGTATTATCCCATTTTACAAAAAAGATCTTATTTCCTCAAAAGTAGGTGGTAAAGATAGGATTCAAACCCAGGTCTGACTGACACCAAAGCCTTTTTCTTTCTGTTATATCATATGCTGTTTTTAAAACACAGGGCTCTTCAGTGCCAGATGAAGCAAATGAGCTGAAAGGTAGAATTCAGTGTATTTTATAAAAGTATGTATAAACTTCAAAAGGTCTGTCCAAATGACAATATGAATAAAAACATTTTTGAATTTTTTAAACATGGGTCTCAGGTTATGATTAATTGGTAGGCCAGTGAGTTTTTTTTAAGGAAATAATTTTAATGGACTTAACTAAACTGAAGAGATGGCTGAATTTGTTTATGATCTTTGAATAGAAAGAAAACCAGGATTCTCACTCAATAACAGGTCATTCCATAGGAAAGCTGTTCTGACTGTTACAGCCTTTTCTCAGTGTACAATCCTTCTGTACTTCTCTGTAGCATTTAAAGCATAGACCATTACCACCTTCTTGAAATCTTTGTATCTCTTGACTGCTCAGGCATTTAACACTGTTTCTTCTACTTCCCTGAGCATTTTCTCTGTCTCCCTCTCCTTTTTCCTAAAGGTAAGTGTTCCCCAACATCCTTTCCTTGGACTCTCTCTCAGAGCTTTCTTGGGTATTTAATTTAGAATATTTGTTTGTTTTTTAAGTGAGGTATAAGTTACAAGGTATTTGATTTTGAAACTTCTCTGTACAAATAATTTCAAAGTCTGTATCTCTGGCCATAATTTATTTCTCAAGTTTCAGATCTACATTGGCTTTCTCCTGCATTCCTGACATGTGAGCTTAGATTTTAAACATAATTAAAATCAAATTTATCTCTTCCTCCACATGCCAGCTTCTCATTTATGGCACTTGATTTTCTCTGGGTACCCAGACTCAAACTTGTCTTTTTTTATTTTTCAAGTTTCCTAACAGCTTATTGAGCCAGATATTGGTCATTCTACCTCTATAATGTTTCTCACATTGATTCCCCTTCTTTTATTTATTTAATTTTTTTTTATTGGGGAACAGTGAGTTTTTCCAAGACCAATCAGCTCCAAGTCAAGTAGTTGTTTCAGTCTCGTTCTGGAGGACGCAACTCAGTGGCCCATGTGGGGATCGAATTGGCAACCTTGGTGTTATGAGCCTGCACTTTAACCAACTGAGCTAACCAGCTACCATCTATTCCCCTTCTTTTAACTACCTCTGCCATCAGCCTAAGACAGGTTCTCATTACTCCTTACTTTGGCAACTATGATAGCTTTTATTTTTTAATTTTTAATTTTTTAATTTTTTTGTTTTAAAGATTTTTATTGGGGAATTGGGGGATGGGAACAGCGCTGGGGAATTGGGGGAAGGGGAACAGACAAGTTGCTGTCGTTTTTTTTTTTTGTTCTTCAGTCTATTTGTGGAGGACATTGCTTCACTGGCCCAAGTTGGCACCATCATTGCGCTCTTCCTGGGCGAGGCAGATCAGTTGCCGGCTTCTG